TTTTCAGAGTAATATAAAATTTCGTTGCGCCAAATCATACAAAATTTACCGCGCAAATATTTAACAAAAAGTAGTTAAAATTGAAAGTAGTAGCATATTGTGTTATTACTGTATAAAAACTAATAAATTGTGAAAATAAAGTTCAGTGTTTATATAAAAAGATGAGAAAAAAGTGTATTAAAGGATGTTAAGATTTTAAATCCCTTTATAAATTCCCGGACAACAATGAGGAACAAAGGTAAACTTTGCATTTAAGTTTTACGTAAATTTATGGCATAATTGTTTTACAGTATATGTGGAATAACAAATATGGATGTGTTAATTAAAATATTTGTAAGTAGTAATTCATGTTCGTAATGATAAAGCAATAAAATTATAAAAAACAGTAAATTTTCATTTAAGTTCTATGCATATTTCTAATATAACAGCTTAGCGAAAGTATTTCACTATTTATTTTAAAATATTAGTAAGTGTGCATTTTATGTTCACATTGAGATAAAAATATTTAAAACATAAACATAAGGCGCTACTTGATAATGATCATCTCATGAACCCTAATAAATTTATGTTTTTAAGGTCATTTAAATTCTGAAGAAAACATTCATATATTCTATACATAAACAACACAAAAAAAAAATAAATATGTTTTTAATTTTTATATTATGTAAATATTTAGAATATTCATCAAACAGATGAACTAAAAATGTATAGCATATATCTCGTTTAAATCTTGCATTAATTCTGGTAAATAATCAAGTCTATTTCATTTCATAACAATAATAAATTATGTAAACAACTTGTACTTCTTTTAATTAAACTTAGCTAATAATTTTAAATACTTTAGTATTTATTTATAAATATATTTTATAATCATAATATAAAATTAAAATTTTTCAATATTAAAATTGTTAAATTTTATATAAAAATGTATCTACATAAGAAAAACTCATAATTCTAACAATGAATGCGCATTCACCCACTCGCATCAATAGATTTTTCGCTACTGATCACACAGTAATGTATGTAAATTAATAATAAGTATTATTCACCACATACATTTAGAGCGAATGCGCGCATATCCTCCCTTATCAACAGATTTATTGTTACTGATCAATTAGAAATGCATGTAAGGCAATAATACGTACCACACACATTTAAAGCGAATGCGCGTACACCCTTCCTCATCAACATATTTTTTGGCACTAAATTTAAAAATTAAGTCTTCGCAGAGAAACACAATTTATCATGGATCACTTAAGTGCTGCCGTATAAAAAAAGTGAATTGGTAGTAGCTTCAGTCTTTGTTATTAATTTCACATCAAAACGGTATTTAATGCTATTATATCAAAATTGTTTTTGAAATAATGTTTTACACGCTCAAAAAAAAAATTTTAGAAAATATAACTCATTAAATAAGAAATATTCAAAACTGTTTTTTTTTATTTAATTAAAAAATTTGCTTCTACAAAAGTTTGTTGCCGATCATGTGAAAAAAGCAACAAAAATTAATTTACTGAATATACAGTGGCTCACAGCTTATTTGATGCAAGCAAAAATTTTTTGAAAAATGTTGTTTATTTCAAAATATTTTGCAAAATTAAAAAAACAAAGTATGCAGAGTTATTGTTTATAGTGTGTTTATTCATTTAAAAAAAAAACCCAAAAATCTTCTTCCATTCCTTAGTAATGCATCAAAAACCAAAACCAAATGAAAAATTCATGTCACAGCTTAAATGATGCAACATCAAAAAAACTAATATTTTTACAAACTTCCGGACTAATTCTAAGTACTTAGTACTTTGTTGGATATCCCTTATTAGTAATAACAGCATGAAGCCTTTTTGGCATGGAATCAACCAGTTTTTTGGTATAATCTGAACTAATTTTACTCCACTCTTGCTGTAAAGCGTTTCTTAAGTCAAATTTGTTGCGGATGTCATTTTTTCTGATATTTGTCTTCAAAACGGACCACAAATTTTCAATAACGTTCAAGTCTGGTGATTGTGCAGGAGTTTGGACAATGTGTGGACATTGCCATATCAACCACGTTTGTACTAATGCTGACTTGTGCTTAGGGTCGATGTCTTGGTAAAAGCGAAAATCATCTGCAATCTGCAATTTCGTTGCACTTTGAATCAAATTTTCTTGAAGAAGCTTTAAGTAAATATTTTTATTCATAGATTCTTCGATGAAGACCAAATTTCCTACTCCATTTGATGACATACATGCCCAAACCATAACATTACCACCCCCGTGTTTTACGATAGCACGTACATTTTGTGGTTTGAGCTCAGAATTGACTCCACGCCATACATAAGATCTTCCATCTGATCCAAATAAGTTTATTTTGACTTCGTCTGCAAAAAGTACATTTCGCCAAAATGCTGGACTCTTATTTAAATGCTCTCGTGCAAACTGCAACCTTTTAATTCTATTTTTTGCACTTACGAAAGGTTTCTTTACAGCTATTCTTCCATTGAAATTTGCTTCTCTCAATATTCTGCGGAAGGTTTCAGGATGACAAACTTTTCCAAAATCTATTTTGGCCATGTTTGTCAACTTTGGAGCGCTAATTGTTGGATTTTTTCGAATTTGGTTTACCAAATACCTCGATTCTTTTTCTGTAAAAATTTTATTGGGAGCCTTTCGTCTCTTATTTTCTATGCGATTTTCATGTACGAAGCGTTCAATTATGTGTTGAACTGTTGAAGAGCTTATATTTACCATTTCACCAATTTTACGCTGGGGAATTCCCTTTTTAAAGTACTCCAACACTAACTCACGCTTTTCAATTGATGTGCGCCGTCCCATGGTTAACAAAATGCACTCACTTTAATTTTTATAATATTTTCGCTCAAAAACTAGACTACAAAGGATCGCAGAATAAAAATATTTTAATTTCTGTGTAATCTGGCGACATAAATAACGGTATTCTTAACTGCATCATTTAAGCTGTGACACGAATTTTTCATTTGGTTTTGGTTTTTGATGCATTACTAAGGAATGGAAGAAGATTTTTGGGTTTTTTTTTTAAATGAATAAACACACTATAAACAATAACTCTGCATACTTTTTTTTTTTAATTTTGCAAAATATTTTGAAATAAACAACATTTTTCAAAAAATTTTTGCTTGCATCAAATAAGCTGTGAGCCACTGTATATTACATGATTAAGTAAACTAAACTGATTTAAATTAATTGATTTAAATTATTATATATTAATTTATATATTTATTTATCATATATTATTTGTTACAATATATATTTTGTTTACGTAATGTGATATTATTAACCAAATAAGGAAGCATAAGTTTTTTATATTATTAAAAAGTTAATATACATATGTTTAGCAAGTAGCAGCAAATTATTATACTGCAACCCCAAAAAGAGAGCAATTTGATGTTATCGTGGTAAGATCACATGTATTTAATACGTGTGCCAAAATGTTATAAAAAATAAATTTTCAAAAGCAATTTCAAATGCAGTCTCACGAAGTGGGCGGAGTTTCCGTTCTTGTAAGGATATTCTTTGCTCTTGTGCATTTAAATAGGGTTTGTATTAGGTGGAAACTACATTTACTTTTATTTCAGGTTAATTTGTTCTTTAAAAAAATCAGTTACAGAAAAATGAATAATTGTAAGTTAAAACAATAAATAATTTAAATAAAATTTTAACTTCTTAAATTGAAGACGTAAACATTTATTTAAAAACAAAAACAATTCAATTAAAAATGCATTCCTTTATAGGATTTTTGAAATACAAACTTTATTTAAACAACATATAAGATTTAAATATATGTATGTAATTTTATGTACCTATCTATTTTTCAACATTAGGTATTAATCCTAATTTTTAGAAATATAAATATTTAAATTTTATAATTAAATTTACAGTTAAAAGTTTGTGCGAGTGCGAAAGTTTTCATGGTTTAATATTGTATTATTGTTAAGCAATTCGAGGAAAATAATTTCTGGAATACCTTTATCCCTTCATACATAGTTATGATTTTCTATGATTTGTTTAAGCAATAATTAAATTGAAAAACGTAATTGCAACTCATAATTAATTGTTCTTATATAATAAATTCTTAAAATCATATTAGGTTTTAAATGCTTACTTATTTGGCACAGAGTTTGTCAGAATAAACGAATATAGGCGCAATAAACAAATTTTTCACGAATGTGACGTAATACTCATAAATGGTTCATAAATCTTTTGCATCATTTTCGTTTCGAATTTCGGTGTTTACCAGCAGAGTATAAATCATTTTAAGTGGTGTTAGCTATTTGTATGAATCTGGTGAAGTCAAATCAACGAAAAAGAGAGTCAGAATGTGTATAAATGAAACACAGTCAATGATTCGAGTATGATTTGAGTATGATTCGAGTGTTGAGTACTTGCTGCAGTTCTCTGATATGTATGTTACGAACATTAACATAAATAATATTAAAATAAAATATTAACTTAAATGACACTTGCCATTAAAGAAATACCTAAAACAAACAGATCATCTAGTCGCTTAGATATTTTGTGTGCAAATAAAAATGTAGTAAGGAAAAAAAGGCATCAAAAGACAGAAGAAGTAGAGAGTGAGATAGAAACAAGTTTATTTCATCTTCTTTCTACGTCAGTTTCTTTCTGCTTCTGTCTTCCGACGTTTTTCTTTCAGAACTCATTTTTAATAATATCTGAAGAGTTTTTTGAAGAAAGGTCTTACAACTGACTTAGATCCGTTATAAAGTTAACGAAATGATAACACAAATGCTCAGCACTTTTTTTATCTTCATAGCTTACTTCAACAGCCAGAAAAACATAAAGGTTGAACAACTGAATATTCATCACACTAAAGCAGCATCAGCAATGATCCTGCGACACTTTGACGAAGAAAAGTTGGACATACTACTGATTCAAGAACCCTGGATTGTTCAAAACGCTATTAAGGGACTTGGTACATCAGTTGCCACGCTGTTCTTTCCACAGGCAGCTGGTAAAATAAGGACATGCATAATGGTGAGGAAGGGGATACAATGCATCCAATTGCCTCATCTATGCTCACCAGATCTTACTACGGTAAGAGTAGGGGTGATGCAAATACCTTTATCGTGGCATCAGCCTATCTACCATACGACTCTATTGAACCACCTCCCAGTCAGGAGGTAATCAGACTGATGGAGTATTTTAGGACGAAAAAGCTAGAAATTGTCATAGGATGTGATGCGAACGCAAACAACATTGTGTGGGGTAGCAGCGATAGTAACAACAAAGGGGAATCTCTCCTCGAGTTTGTTGAAAAATACAATCTGATGATTGTAAACGGGGGGTTAGAACCTACCTTCGTTGACGCACGAAGGTCAGAAGTTATTGACCTAACCCTGTGCTCAGGGGCAATGACAGAGAAAATTGAGAAATGGAGTGTCGCTGATAGACTAACAATGTCGGATCATCGGGCTATACACTTTGAGATACTCTGTCGTCCGAAACGCACTAATAGTCAGAGGCTAGTAAGAATTTCTGAGAATACTGATCAGGTAACGTACTTGACGTTGTTAACGGAATTATTACAAAACAGGCCGCTGAGGAAACTCAAGACCACATGGAATGTAGAGACAGAAGTCAAAGCAATTACTGCTGCGATGATTAATGCATTCGAAAACGCTTGTCCCCAAACCAGCATTGCAGAAAAGACACCTTGGTGGAGTCAGGATCTTGATGTAATAAAAAAGCAGACAAGGAAAGCCTTTAATAAATACATGAGGGAGAAGAACTCCGAATCATGGGATCTGTATAAGGCCAAAAAGCGTGAATTTAAGAAAGCACTACGCAACCGGAAACTGGAGTCGTGGCGGAATTTCTGTTCGAGCATGAAGAGGACCTCAGAAGTAAGTCGGTTACAAAAGATGGTCACCAAAGATCCGGTCTAAAGACTTGGTTTAATCCGAAAGAAGGATGGTACAATGACGGAGACAGTAGGTGAGTCATTGAGTACTCTCATGGAGATCCATTTTCCAGGAAGTTTCAAATTTGATGATCACTGGCCCAAAAGGGGAATGAACAGAGAAGAAAGATTTGATGCAGAACGGATAGTGACCATAAATGCAGTTAGGAATGCTATTTTGACATTCGCTCCATTTAAGTCACCGGGGTTGGATTGCATATTTCTAGCACTCCTGCGATGGGGAATTGAACTGCTCGCAGTTAGCCTCAGGGAGATATTTAAGACGTCACTGGCAACAAGATACGTCCCTAAAGCTTGGAGAGAGTCAAGGGTGACTTTTGTACCAAAGCTAGGAAAAAAGGATTACACAGAAGCAAAGTCATTCAGGCCAGTTAGCCTTACCTCTTTCATGCTTAAAGCTATGGAAAAGGTAATAATGGACTACCTAGAATGCTCCACGCTAATGAAATATCCTTTAAGCAGATGTCAACATGCCTATATGGCGGGGAGATCCACAGAGACTGCCCTGCACGAAGTCGTGAGGACAGCTGAGAGAGAGCTAACTTCAGGAGACATTTCGATGGCCATCATGATGGACATCGAATGAGCCTTTGACAAAGTAAACTTTGATAAATCAGCTGCTCTAGCTGACCGAGAAGCCGGTTCACTCATTATTGGATGGATAGATTTCATGCTAAGGCAAAGAGCAGTAAACCTACAAAATGGAAGACATAGACTAAGAGGCAGAGCAGTCAGAGGCTGCCCACAGAGAGGGATGCTTTCACCATTTTTGTGGAACGTGACCATAGACTCTCTACTTCAACAGCTTGACTTCAAAGGCATACAAACAATTGGGTATGCGGACGATATAGCACTGATTGTGAATGGCAAGTTCCCAGACACTATTAGAAACGTAATGAGAGATGCTCTCAAATGTTTCGAAAAATGGTGTTGGGAACAAGGCCTGGCCATCAATGCCACGAAATCAGACACTATCCTCTTCACGAGGAAGAGAATTCTGTCAATGGAGCCCTTACAACTTTTCGATAATAACATTCGCTTATCAAAGTCGGTGAAGTATCTAGGTGTTGTCCTAGATAATAAACTGACTTGGAATGAACATGTGGATGAAAAGATCAGAAAACCGAATAGAGCCCTATTTCAATGTAAGAGAGTGTGCGGAAGACGATGGAGGACATCCCCAAAGTGGATGTACTGGATCTTTACGATGATGGTCAGACCTATGATAACATGTGCGTCAGTTGTCTGGTGGTGTAAAGCCACCCAAAAGACAATAAAAGTGAAGTTATATAGGGCCCAGCGACTAGCCTGTGTTGGAATAACAGGCGCTATACGCACTACATCAACTTTGGAAAATTGGTGGGCTATCGGAAAATTCTTGACTTCGTCCAGACCGCGGTCAAGGAAACACAGATGTCATTGGAGACTATGAGGAGAGCTTATGAGACAGAAGAGTCCTATAGAACACTGATAGTAGATTTCCTTCTATATAATGAATGTAAAAGGAATAACATATGTATATTTACCGATGGCTCCTTGATAGATGGCAGAGCTGGTGCTGGGGCTTATTCGAAAGAGCTAAATCGAACGTGCACTCTACATCTAGGAATATATGTTTTTGTCTATCAAGCGGAACTTATGGCGGTCTTACATACTCTGGATCACCTATTGGATTTTCAGGTGTATCAGAAAAATATTCTGATAGCGCTGGACAATCAAGCAGTTATCAAAAACATGCAAAAGACATACATAGCAACAGCTTAGTTCAAGAATGTGTAATGAAGCTCATGGAAATGAGGTGACGATCATGTGGGTTAAAGAACACATCGGTATTGAGCAAAACGAGAAGGCAGATGAACTTGCAAAGCAAGGATCAAACCATAATTTCTGTGGCCCGGAGGCCAGATTACCATTGGGGTACAGCATGACGGCAGCCTATGTCTATAAGTGGATAACCTCACCTCAATACCTCAAAGTGGTGTTAAGGGACAAATTAATAATGGGTCTTGAAAAAAGCGTAGCCAAGTACAAGTTAATGTTCGAATTAGTAGAAACATTAACCTTTAAAAAAGCGGTTCAAATGGCGAAAGCAGCGGAATATAGCCAACAACCGTTAGAAGCAATAAATAACGAAGAAATGTTTTATATGCGAAAAAACAACAAATAACGAGCGATGCAGAAGACCGCAGTTGCAGTGACGAAATGGACAGCAGCGTAGTGAACAATGGCAGCATGATAATGAGACACAGCAGATTCGAAGAGAAGAAGTGAAAAAGTGCGAAGTGTGTGGGTATAAAATCCATAAAAGCAGTGTATGTAAGTACAAAGATAATAATTGCAAAAAATGCAATAAGAGAGGTCATTTAAAAAAAATGTGTTTGTTAAACAGGAAAGAATTTAATTTTTTGAATCAAATTTTTTTCTGTTGGTTAATAAGAAAAAACAAATTGACGATCCAATTTACGTAAATGTGTACGTGGAAAATCATGTATGCAATTGGACACGGGCTCTCAGTTTAGTCTTTTTTCATTAAATGAAGCCTAACATAATTTTAAAGAACTATTTTTATTTGATTATCGTAATACTAGACACTGCAGTACAGATATTTCGCCGGCTACGTTAATGTTTGGTCGGCAGTTGCGTACAAAACTTGATTTATTTAATTCACATAGCAAAGTTGAAATAAATGTAAATGTAAACAAAATAGTACAAGAAAGTCAAAACGAGCAAAAGAAATAATATGGTTAGTGGAACAATATTTTCAAAGTAAATGATACCGCGATGGTATACCTTTTATTCCATAATAGGTGGAGTAAGTTGGGCAAAGTTAAAAAAAAAGTTAGGAAAACAGATATATATAATTAAAACTGAAAATGAATAAAATTGGAAAAGGCATGCAAATTAAATAATTGTTTGTAAGGACATATAGTTGAGGAAGCTATTTTAAATAGTATGAAAGATATTGTTAATCAACTCTTGAAAAAATTATTTTAAGTCAGAAAGAAGAAATTAATTATAAGTATAATTTGAGAACACGCAAACTTAAAGATAATATGAACAATAGTGCAGGGGGTGTATTGTAATATAATCACCATAATCTATAAATAAGTAATAAGGTAACCTTATTATTGATAATGTTTACCTCTCTTAGAACTATGTTAATACATGTAAATTTAGTCTGTAAGCAATCATTTAAATAAAAAATTATAGCAACAATATTTAGAGACTATCCTAACATGTTCGATTGGGCCATGAAATTAAAGTAAAAAACAATACTTTCTAAAAGAAATATATTCATAACGCAAACTCATAGTGCCCTAAAATCAAAGGCTTCTTTTGTGGAGCGAAATATATTATTATCAACACAGAAGACTAGTTGATAGACATAGGTATAGTATGAACGATACATATGTAGATATAACATAGATATACTACATGACAGATATAGTGAACTGTTGGATGGTCTATTTTTTATATACGAGCAAATTCTATTAATGTCTTTATAGTTATAACTCTTTCAAGAAAATAGTAATAACTATATAGACATATATACATGTATGAATGGAAATGGCTCGATTGAAATAATATATTTACGATGCACACAAGAAAGTTTTTCGTTTACCTTCTCAAAAAGTATCCGGATTTTATTGTTTGTTAACTACTCCTTAAGTAATAGACTTTTTTCAAAAATTTTTTTTTTGTTATGTTGGTACATCCTTTTGTACATATGGTACAAATTTGAGCGCCATCTGTCAATTAGTTTGTTTACAGCAGCTGCTAATGTGAGACTACCTCAAGTGCATTTAGCGATGTTTCCTATGGAAAATTCTTGTTGTACGCGATTTTTTGACCAAACACGGCACCACTGTCATTGCTCAGGCACCATATTCGGCAGATCTGGATCCGTGCGACTTTTTCCTGTTCCCGAAACTCAAATTGCCCCTTTGTGGTAAGCGTTTTGAGTCGATTGAATCGTTAAAAGAGAATTCGCTGAAGGAATTAAAAGCCATACCTAAGATTGGGTGAAGCGTTGGCATATGTGTATCGCTTCAGAAGGAGCATATTTTGAAAGAAATAAAATAAATTTGGAATAAAATTTGAATTTGTGTGTTTTATTTACACAATCCGAGTATTTTTTGAGCACAAATACATTACTATTCAATATGCATACATCCAAAATTCTAGTAAAAAAAGCAAAACAAAACCGGTAGTATTATCAGCAGAATGAAAAGAATTATTCTTTGCTTCTATTATTTTATGAATGTTTTTTGTATAATTTATTTTTATTTAATAATTGTGCTGGCCACTTTTTACTTTTTTACTATACTCATTTTAGATTTGGTGTTTGTTATTCATAAAATTATGCATATAGCTGACAACAAAAAAATAGCAACAACAATAATTATATCAAATGTTTAACAAAAACAAATTTTTGGTGATGACCTTGAAAAAGCTTTATCTAAAAGTCGAGTGCAATCAACTTTTTGGTTGTTATTGTCAATGTTGTTGGTGTTGTTTTAGTTGTTGTAGTTGTAGGTTTTCTTATTTATTTTTTTCTTATTGTACATTTTATTTGTACACATTCTATCCCTCTTTTACTTAAGCAGATCTAAGGTAGTTAGTATGTAGATGCCTCCTGTTTTTTATTATAGATTTGTATACAGTTTTGTGTATATTATAAATCTTTACTCTTTATTGTGTGTTATTATTCTTTTTGTTTCTGTATTGTTACTGTTGTTGCTATTTTGATTAATTTAATTGTGTTGTGTTTTTTGCTATTCAAAATATGACTGTATTGGTAAACCATATATGGTTTACACATGGTTTATTATTCATGTTATTATCTATGTATTATTATAATAATTGATATATCAATGCTTCTATAGTTGCAGATTTTAAAAGTAGTTGTAATATATATTGTGGTTTTGTTGTTGTTGTGTAGTGCTAATATTATATGGTTCTGTT